GCAGCGGGGTAGGACCAAACTACACACACCACCTTGTTATGCATGAATGGGCCAAAGCCCACATGGGCCTCCGGGATTAACTATGAATTATTGACAATATTCTAAAATATTAAATAGGCTGGGTCCATTAATTTCAACAACCCCCACCACATTCCAGAGGCACATAAAGTTTACCTATGGTTCCAAAACATTGTTTATATAATGATGTTTTTCCGTGGGACTGTCAAGTTAAACTTTCTCCTAGAATTTTACGCTACTCCTGAGCAGTGGACTACGTCTTGAACTGTAAATTTTATGCAAACAAGTTTCATGTAAAAACCCTGATCCCGCGGGTAGGAGCATTTACGTCATACTCCAGAGCATCTTCATGAGTTTATTAGAGAGCACCCAACTCTCACAGACTACGACGTTTAATAGTCTAACTCATATAGATGTGTTGTTTCAAGATGTTATGTAGGACAACATTTGTGCCTACCCAAGCCACCCAGAACACATTAAGATAAATATCATCCTGCCATACAGATTAGGTGAGAAACGCATCATAACAGAGAGATCTTATAAATTAAATATTCTCATCCTGGTTATCCAATAGTTTGTCTCTCCGGTTCTAATTCACGGGATCTTCGGTCACATAGAATGGATTACCACCATGGGAAACTTACATAGCAGGTCTCAATCCCATCTCTTTTGATGCAATTTCTATCACATTTCATGATCAAATCTGCTAGAATCTTTGATGTGTTTATATAGCCCGATGCTATTACTCCAGAGTTTCTCATAAATATGACAGATTTCAGTCTCCTTCATATGTCCCGATAACTTCTTATTATCCTTTGAATTGTTTACCTTGACGATCACCATTTGATTATCGTAGTTCATTAGGATACCTTGTATTGATTTTTCAACTACTAACAAGTTCAAAAAAAAATCTTGAAGCCATTAAGATGGTCTTCTTGCAAGACTTCTAGAAAACAACAGAACCATTGAGTTTAAATACATAACCGCTTGTGGCTTTAAACTCATCGGCATCAGATATCCAATTCGCATCACTATAACCCTCAAGTACTATTGGATTCCCGGTATAGTGAAGTTCATAACTCGCAATACCTTTCAGATAGTGCATTATCCTCTCAATAGCATGCAATGAACATCTTCCAGGTTTGAAACGAACCAGCTTAGTTTAATCACAACAAACGAGATGTCAGGCCTCATAGCGCTAGCTAAATATATAAGTGAGCCAATTATTTGGGAATATCTCAGTTGATCCTTTGTTTCTCATTCGTTCTTTCAAATCAACACACTCGGATCATAAGGTGTTGGAGAAGGTTTACAATCTAAATATTGAAAGTGACCAAGAACCTTCTCCATATAGTGAGACTGCAACAAAGTGATCCCACCATCATCACCTCTCCAAAACTTGATGTTCAAGATAACATCAGTTAATTACTCCATGGTCTTTCATCTCAAAGTTATGATTTAGAAAACCTTTCACTTCCTCAATGACCTTAAGGTTTGTACCAAATATAAGTATGTCGTCAACATAAAGACATAATATTACTCCCTCGCCCACACCATGGCGATAGTACACATACTTGTCGGCTTCATTTGCAACCAATCTTGTAGATGTCATAGTTCTTTCAAACTTCTCATGTCATTACTTAGGTGCTTGTCTCAAGCCATAAAAAGATTTTAAACAACTTAGACACTTTTCCTTCATGACCATCTACTACAAAACCATCGGGTTGTTCCATGTAAATTTCCACCTCCAACTCCTCATTTAAGAAATTTGTCTTCACGTCCATTTGATGAATGGGAAGATTGTGTGATGCACTCAATGAGAGTAGTACTTGAATGGTGGTCAATCTGGCCACATGCGCATACGTATCAAAGAAGAAACTAGATCTTGTGGAAATATCTTGAAATATTTGATGGTCTAGGCCCAATAATTCAAAGGATTGAGTTACATTGAAGCCCTTCTTCAGAAGAAACCAGATCTTGTGGCAACCACCCTGCTGATGATCATCTGCATCGGCCCTTCAGTTCACCGAAGCGAGATATCTAGTGTGTGTGAGGCATTGTCTCTCATGTAATCATCTTGGGTTGTATGAAAAAGATATTTGAGTTCATGTCCCTACCCATTGGCAGGAGAACTTACCTAGCTTGGATGGACTTGGCGTTTTGGTGTTGAGCCTGACCTAGTTGTAGCACCTGTTCTGGCTTTTACCTTTGTTTGAACTGATGTGTACCTGGTTGGTGGTTTCATTTTATACGGAGCCGGGGAGAGCCTCCCTGTTTTCTTAAAAACACCCAGATGCATTGCACGCACAATGAATAGTAACATTGAAGAACCATTGAAGAACATAAATAAAAGAATAAAAATGAAACTTTGTATCTTTGATTATGACCAAATGTTTCAGGTGCTTACAAAATTTGGTGGCCAAATAACATCCTCTAAGCTCCAGACAAACAAAACAAAAACTCCACTCAACCGTGCACAAAAGTTTAAGCACGAATTTTGTTATTTTTTGTATAGAGCTCCTCGGATGTCATTTTGTCACCAAGGAGACGCTCTTAAGAGGTGCATGGATCGAGGCACGCATCTGCATGCCTTGATTAGACGTGACATAGGTGGAGCCTCAACCCACTAACGTGCGTTGCCTTGACGAGCAGTCAACATGACCACGTGGTCCGGCTCGACCAGCTGTAAAAACTCTGATCTGGTCCGGTGGGACCAAGACTGGATCGATTAAAATTCAAAAAGTGCTACGTGGGAATATTGGCTTGCGGAGCCGGCTTGGCAGGAACATCTTCCGCTAATTCCGGCTTAATTCATCAATAATTCAAGACCGGATGGTGCCTCTCTCGACAGATGGGCCGACTTCGGGGAGGAGGCCGACCATATCAGGTCGCCGACAAGACTTCATTTTCAGGGGAGCTTCGAAAAACCAGTTCCAACTTTGGCAAGTAGACATGAGACGACGCTCAAGATCGACATCGACCATGAAGCAACCAAGGTCGGAAACCGGTTCAGGGGCTACTGACGGTGTTACTGCCCAGGGGTGCATCACCTTGCCGTTAGTTGGCCCAAGTAGGCCGGCCCGAGGACCCCTTGGTCGGTTTCCACCCTGGGCCATCATGCCGGCTTGTGGATCTTGTAGAAGGAAGATTCTGGAAGCCTTGTCGTTCAAGCTAAGGAAGCCGGATCCATGGAGGACTCGCCTCCAGCGACGTAGCCGACTAGGTTCATATAACCTAGGGGACCTGGTAACCTATATAAGCCATGGCCGATAGGGACCTGAACCTTACATTGAGATCAATTCCTCGATTGTGCCTTGTACGTTGTACACCCCGTTGTGTCACGAGTAGGAGTAGGTTATTACCTCCATCGAGAAGGCATGAACATGGGTAAATTTGGTCGCTTGTTTCCCTTCCAATCTATTCACCTAGCCAGGATACCCTATAGTAGGATCTGCAGGATTCTATTCCAACAACTATAAAGCAAATCAAACCCTACATTTTTTTATGTGCATTGTACTGATTTCTCAACAATATTAACACTTGTGTGCACGTTGCAAACAAAGGTGAAATCAAAGGATGGACACACAACTCATCGAATTCTCTGACAACTTCAATATCCACGTCCCTTCCTATGACTATCCAATGTCTTTTATAGTCTTGCACCCCTTTACTTATCGTAACGTGTTTTTCTTATTCTCTACTTTTTTGTTCACAAGGCAGCATTACATATTACAACTAACAAATACTCCAATCAACTTTACAGTTAAAAAGTAAAAAAGAACCACAATCAAGTTTAGTCTACTTCAATACAAGCTTCACAAGTGTATAATTGTACAAAGATTTTAAGTGAAACGAGTCTTAATCCACACAAACTCTGAAGAAAGCGTTTTCCTTCAAAGAGACATCAAGTCCCCTATTTTCTGAAACAATGAAGAACTTTAATTAGGTTTCCAGAATATCATGCACGGCTCAACAACAAAAAATGAACTAACCCAAGGACTAACCCTCGTTGGCTTTTTTTTATAGGAGAAACTTCACGAACACCGTGCGTCCGAGCCGGGACTCGAACTTGGGTGGGCTGGCAGCAACCCGGCTGCCCAGCCAACGGGTCGACGCCCCGTCCTCATGCACGGCTCAACACTTCTCACAAAATTCACTGCTAGTCCAGTTTGTGTATAGTCTTCAATTTCATCAACCGAGTGATGCTGGAATATCAAGTTGCAAAAGGTGAAGCTAGAGACATCTATTTCAAAGAACCTTAATAGAACTTAGTTTTATCGATCTCTGTCATTCATGTTTGTTTTGATTTGTTGGATCTGGTAATATGTTTAGGTGAATACTGAAGTTAGATCCTATGCTAAACAACATAAATAGAGGCAAAAGTGAATGCTACTTTTAAACCTTTTCCAGAAAAAATGAACCACTGGCACAAATTTGCTAAACAATTGCTCAGGTTAGAATAAAGCTCAGCACAAACATAACAAGCACCAAGGCTACAGAATTCTGCAATCCAGCTATCCTGTGTCTCAGTCTAGAAGGTAGTACGCTAGTAGTACTAGACAAACACAAACAATGTATTCTCTATGGCCTGTTGTCCCAGAAAAGCATGTTCATCCAAACACAAGCCAGAGAGTATGCCTGATTTTCATTTGCCAATGTTGAAGGGTACAATAGACTGCTCAAGTGTGAATCTGTACTATAACCGACCACCAAAACTCTTGCAAAAACCAATGCCCGCGTCGAGGCTCTTCTCAGTGAAGTCTTAGCTATCCTTCCTTCCTTCAGCAGGACAGCAGGACCAAGCTGAACCCCAGTAACCTTGTCACTATTGATACAACACAATGTACAACACCTTTGAAATGAACAGCTACAGAATAAATGCAATTACAACAGAGAAACCCCTGAAAACTCAAAACTATCGCTGTCTACTCTGGCCTTGCTCCGGAAGAATAATGTTTGCATTTCAACTACAAGAATGATATTTATACCAACTCCATCAGAAGAGGGTCTCCCTTGGACATAAGCCGGATTACCTTGATGAAATCAATCTCGTTCATCACTTTAACTGGGAAAACAGCAGGTGACTGAGCTGTATAAATACTTGAGAAAGTCTCATTGGCTGCCAAGTTGGTCTTGAAAACTGTTCCGGCCAGAGCTTCCGAATCAAAATTTTGAGGCGAGTCCATCGCCAAGAAGAACATGGGGACCGCAATCTTATGATGCAGATCCAAATTGCCAACGAGACCCACAAGATCACCAAAGTCCTCAACAAACTGTCGGGGCACGTAGAACAGTTCGCTGCCACAGAATACAATCTTATCTTCGCCCATGCTTTCTTTATACTTCGACTGGAAATGGACAGGGGAACTGCCAACGACTTGCTTAACCATAGCACCTTGCTTAACAAACCATTCCTCTTTATTGCTCTCCAGTGGAATAGTAACCCAAGAATGTGCAATCTGCAACATGAGAAAGTAATGTGAACCCTCATGTATAATGCGCATTGATTGACAACACATACATGATCAGAAACAGAAGGATGTGGATGGAAGGAACTGGATACGATCTACAAACCTTATCAGTTATCCAGAGTTTTTCCTTGTCGGCTTGCAGAAGGTTCCAGTAGTTAAGAATCATGTGGTCTTGGAGGAAGAGAAATCCATCAGCACCACCGTATCTTGCAAACACCTTGGGAAGATACCTGATGACAAAATGCAAAATGTTGTTCACATGATCAGCAGAATTCGCATAAGCTGGTACTGTACACATATCAAGATAGAACTAAAAGGAGTGTCAAGAAGGTAAGTCAAGTCAATTTCATATCCCCTATTTAGTTATAATGATGACAACATCACAATGATATAAAGCCCATCGGTAAGGTTATCTTTTAAGCCCAGTAGTTGAACTTGCAAACAGAAATTGGAGATGATTTCTTTTCTGTTGCATTGATTTGCTTTAGTAACCAGACCTAACTTTAGTCATCTCATAGGTATAAATAAGCTAACAGATGCCAAGAATGGAAAAGGAAATAAGATGTTATGGGTGGCACCATCTATGGCTGTCAATAATTAAGGCGCATATCTAGTGCAAACAATTGGTGCCATCACCCAAACCTTTGGTTGAGGGGAGTGTAATAGCATACCATAGTTAACTGAGCAAAAATGTGTTTATTCTCGAAGAACCTGAGCTAAAAATAATAATATAGGAACATCATCTAGTTATTCATTTAATTGGCACTAGGTTCAACACTAATCTAGTTAGGAGCTGTTGGTTCAGAACTTCCGGTGGCATTGGATCTGACTGAAGATACAGCTCAATTCTTATATTAACCATTATGCAGTTAAGCAGTTTGATTTTCATATCAAGTGGTGATCATGTTTTGGAGAAGATCTATAAATGCAAGTCAAAGAGGAGTTATTAGGGGTAATAATCACTCACTTGTATGCGTGTGACAGAGGGCAGCGTTCAACAGCAAGCTCTGCATTGCTATGCTCGGCAAGAATGATAACTGTCTTGAATATCCGTCCATATAGCAGCCTCCACTCCAAGGCCACACGATCTACAGGTCCACTAACATGCATGATCAGCACGACATTACCAAAGTTCTTTCTCCACTTAATCAGATTTCCAATCTCATAGTTCACTGTGCCAATTTCATCAACCCCAAGGTGCACGGATGGCAGCTTCTTGGGCACAAACTCCTTCATGTCACCCTCCCCAATGGTTGCCCGTTGCCTGTCAATCTCCAATGACATGAGCCGAGGCTGCCGATACCCTGCTGCCAGAAGATCCTGCAGCCAAGCAGCTGTCAATCTCACATCCTGCTCCATCCAGAACCCCTCCTCAGCCATGGCGTAGCTTAAATCAAGAATCTTCTCGAACAGGCTCTGCTTGTTTGACCTCCACTCATTCAAGAATTTGATCAGTCTGCCAACATTCACATGCAGATCCTTCTCCTCTGCAAATGGGTAGGCCTGCACATGATCCTTCCGGTAAATAGTTGGTGGGTAGAAAGCCACGTACCCACCAATCTCCCACAAGATCCGCTGAGCCCAGTACCCACGGATGACATCTGCCGCCATTGAACTCACTGAAACAGGCATCATCAGGCCCCAGAAAGCCTGTGCGTGGAACAATGTATTGAAGGAGTTCACTGGCGCCATCATGCCCTGTGGAAGCGCCACCTTGGGGGCCTCCGGATCAAACCTGAGGTCGAATGGCGCTGTTGGCGGCTTTCTAGTGAAGTAGAAGACGGCATCCACATCCGGCAAACCGTCAGACAAGCCCTGCTGAATGAACTGGCGGCCACTGAAGATCTCGGTGTAGAACGCCTCGTGTGCCACCTCCCCGACCTTATCCAGCGGCAGCCCCCGCGGCCACACCGAGCGCTGGCCGAAGTGCACATACGGGTTCACCACCGTGCGGTTGGGATCCGCGTGGCTGTACTGGAGCAGCACGGGGTGGTTGGCGATGCCAGATCCCAGATCAACATCGAAATGCTTCCCGAGATCATTCCCCGGCACCTCGGCGCGGTCATCGGCGTCGAAGATGAGCTTGGCCCCGTGCTGGATGGCGAAGAGGTAGCCCGCCGTCTTGCGGACGTGGGACGCGTAGGGCAGGAAGTCGACCGAGCGGTAGCCGAGCTGCGCCTGCAGGTCGAGGGAGAGGAAGATGGCGCCCTTGAGGTCCCAGCCGGCGGGGGTGTGCGAGTTGCCGACGGCGAGGAGCTGCCAGCCCTTGACGCGGGTGAGCGCGGCGAGCGCGGCGGTGGGCGGGGAGGAGACGGAGACGACGATCCACCTCTCGGCGCGGAAGGACGCGAAGGGGGCGGCCGAGGCGATGGCGAGCGGCGGGATTTTGGACCAGGCGACGTCCGGGTAGGGGAGCTTGGCGGGGCCGGCGGCGGAGCGGGAGGCGGAGCGGTCGAGGCAGAGGAGGGCCGCGGCGTCCGGGCCGGCGCCGCGGAGGAGGAAGACGGCGGCGACGGAGGCGACGGCGAAGAGGAGGAGGAGCAGCTTGGAGGAGTGGTCGGCGGCCCAGTTGCTGAAGTCGAGGCTCTTGGCGAAGGGCCGCGGGTGGCGGCGGTCGGAGCCCGGCGCGGCGCGCGGG